GGGAGGGGGGGGGAAGTGAGAGAGAGAGAGAGAGAGAGAGAGAGAGAGAGAGAGAGAGAGAGAGAGAGAGAGAGAGAGAGAGAGAGAGAGAGAGAGAGAGACACCACGATGCCACCCCGAATCCAAATCCGGAAAAAACACGACAAGAAACCACAGTGTTAGCATTTATCAATGATCATAATTTGCCAATGATATTTGAGTCATGACATTAGGAACCAACCACCCAAAAAGCATATGGCAAGAACACGAAATCATTTCACAACCCAGACAACATAGACATGACAATGGTCCAGCAACACATAAAAGCACAGACCAATCTAGATGTACATTCATATATATGGTGAATGCAAATTTCCAGAGAAGCTCAAACAGAATGAAGGCCACCTCCAGACTGCTTTTTAAGGTTGTTTGGGGGTACATTCATAGAGGGAGGGGGCAGCATTAGAGTATGGGAATTGACACTCAATTCTTCCTAAAAGGAAGCAATCCCTGGGCCGTAACGAGGGGAAGTGTGTTGCAGGTTGCAAAACGTTTCTTCACAGGGTACACTGGGCCCGGTTCCCAGCACGTGCTACAAATAGATTGGAGCTGTTTCTCTGTTTAAAAAAAAAAGAAAGAAAGAAAGAAAAAAGAAAGAAAAAGAAAATTCCAGGTCAACCTTCTCCGTCCCGGCTCCAAGCAACCTGAATTCACTTTCACTTGATTACACTCATTCAACGAGTTTCCTTTACTAAACAAAAATTTACACATCTGAAAGGAGAAGCTCAAGGTGAAAGAACAGGGAAGAGGGGCAGAGAGAAAGAGTGCAACGGAGAGAAAGCAAGAGAGATGTGTCCGCGATGGAGGGATGGATGTGTGCGCATGTGTGTGTGTGTGTGTGTGTGTGTGTGTGTGTGTGTGTGTGTGTGTGTGTGTGTGTGTGACACTGTGTGTGTATTTTAGATTTTCCCCACAACAGCCGCAATTCCACCCAGGTGAAGAGATTCAGAATCAAAGCAGTCTTTGTCCTATTGCAGACAACGAGAGCATTTGAGATGTCCAACATATTAAAGCAATTTTAGACAGTTTTTACCTTGTCCTTGGGGTACCCCTTTCATTGTTCTTGCAGCTCCCCTTTTACTGTGCCTCTTACGCACAAGGCTGCCCACGTTGATTGTGGTTGAGCGGCAGCTGCCCACATCCCCGTGTGCCTTCACGGCCCACTTGCACGCTATTTCAGGAGTCAGAGTAAAAGGGAAGGTATGCTCCTGTGCATCTCTTCAGAACTTCGTATGTGTGTGTGTGTGAAACGGTTTTCACCTTTGCAGAGGCAGATGCAGATCCCAGGGCTCGATTCCCAGACCTTACTTACCTATGTACAGTATCAAGTCGACCCCTGAGTGTTTGAACCCGTGACCTGTGTTTTGGTAGTTGTTTGTTGTCTGTCATAGGTCTGTGTAGTGGTAGGGGTTCGATCTGTAGGTCTGTTAAGTAGAAGTCACAGCTCTGTGGAGGTTGTAGCTGTAGATGTTCTGAAAGGTCAAGGTCGTAGCTGCTACAGTGCTGAAACGTAGCTGCTACAGTGCTGAAAGGTCAAGGTCCTCGTAGCTGCTACCGTATTCGAGAGGCCAAGTCCACAGACTTCCGGAAGGTCCGGAAATGACCTTTCGAAGTTGCCTCACGTTTAGCCAGAGGCAAGTGGGCAAGTGGTGAGCCCAACTGCGTTGAGTTGGCAGTGTACCTGCGTTAAGTCGGCAGTGCGCCTGCATCGAGTTGGGAGTGCAAACCCATGCAGTCAGTGGTGCCGGTCCCAGTCAGTCACAGTCCAGTCAAGCGAGTACCATGTGGGACAGTGTGCACCAAAGGCCTCGAAAAGGGGCAGACCAACGAGTTACAGAAGTATAAATCAAGAGGCAGTGCCCAGCCATTCATTCATTCGCTGCGTAAGCCATGCGGAAAAGCTGCTACAGCGTCTTGTGCGAAGGTGGTCTGCAGGTCGCCCGAAGACAAAGTGGGCTGAAGGGAGAGATCGTAGCCATAGTCAGTAGGGGTAGAGCGGCCATAGCCGCATCAGGAAGAAGATAGGTTTAGTGTGTGTGTGTGGTGGTATTCAGGGTGATCCAGAGTTGTGTATGTGCGAAGGGTGGTGTTGGACACAGTAACAAGAGTCGAGTGTGCAGGCGCTGAGGCGCCATAGCTTGTCGAAGTGATTTTGCATCTGAACTGTGTTCTCGTTTTCCATATCTCTGAGCTTTGAGTGGGCGCACTGCGCCAAGTGTGAATCGCCATCTGTATGCATGTATGCGAAGTGGAAGTGAAAGCGAGTCTGATTGCATTGGTATCAGAGCTAGTTCCCGTTACCCCACGCGCCATCGTCGTTGCCGGCAGGAGAAGCGACGCGCGCCAGTCAGGCGCCATAGCCGAGGTGCACCGCAAGAGGGAAGTCCGCCATAGCTGCACTGCGGAGAGGAGGTGCCGCATACCTGCATAGAAGACGACGACGAAGAGAGAGAGAGAGAGAGAGAGAGAGAGAGAGAGAGAGAGAGAGAGAGAGAGAGAGAGAGAGAGAGAGAGAGAGAGAGAG